CCTGAGTAATGCCGATAGGGGCGGATCGCATGATGGTGTTTTATTGCTGGAAGGCACCGTGAGGAGGAAAAATATTATTTATTCTTTCTTCTTCCTGGAGGAGACGAATCCTTTCTTTGATTGAAGTACTAATGCCTTGTCGCAGCTCTTTTTGGCCGCTGGTGGCTTTGGTGTTTGTTCCAATCAATGGCTCTCACTGGCGGCTCCAAGGCCTAATATCGACTGGCGTTGTCGCCCATGGGCCCACGTTGCTTGGCCCATCAATTGTTTGTGCAACTGGACAACAAATTTCTCTGTGGGTGTGAATCATGGTTTACAGAATATGACCACAACAGCTGCTGAGTGGGCTGGTGGTTGTTGCGTCCTGCATGAATCTGTTCTTGCGTATTTCACTCTGTTGCGTGTAAGTGATGTTACATCTGTGTCTCGTTGTGTGGCAGAGGCCTGAACCAACGGAGGACAGAGTGTTGTGATGAGTTAGGGCACAGACAACCCTCGTGTTGCTCATCGTTATGCTCGTTTTCACTGCGGTCCTCGACGTGGGATCATTTTATTTTGTGCGGTATGGAGAGCACTCGTCGGGTGGCATATCGCCGTGTGGTGGTCTCTGGCTCAAAGGACCCTGTGGAATACTTTGTGAGGGCGAAGGATGATGGCAGGACTGTTGTGCCCACACAGACGGAGACGAGAACAGGCTGGTTGGTGTGCCCTGTAAGATTGCGCGCTCGATTGCGTCATTGGATGCGTGCAGAGCAGGTGGCTCTCCGGTGTTTGTTGGCTTCACGGCCAACCCGCTGGTCCCTTCTGAAGGGCATTCAAGAGCATTCGTTCTCTGAGGGTGTTCCTTTTGTGTGGTCCGCACACTGCAGTGCCCGCTCAATTGGGCCTTTTCTTTGATGGGAGGATGGTCTGTTGCACTTCTTGGGCCCCTGTGGAGGGGGAGGGTCATGGGGCAACGTGCCCACCGCTTCGGTGTTGGTGCACCGCGTACTTGTGGCCGCGTTACGCAGGAGGCATAGTTCTCCGTTGCAGGATGGAGGCAACGCGCTCTTGTCCCTTGCCAGCAATGCGCGGTCTTCTTGTTATTTATTTTTAGGCGTTTCTGCCGGACAACGAGTTTGTAAATGGTTACGAGGGATGCGTGGCTGCAGGGCTTGAGCGCCGTTGGTTTTTTTCTGACGGGCGGTGTTGAGGAATTACAGGCGCTTGCAGATGCCATCGCCGGTGTGAGGACAGGTGTTTCAGCCACCCGAAGCGCGGCTGTTGGGAAGACGTGTTTCACTCTTGCAGTGGAAGCAGGCACCAAAGGGGCGAATGTGCGGGCTCACCACCCTACTTTCTGTACTGTTTTGCCGCGACGACTGGATCTGATCGCCAGCCACATTGAGCCGTCGCCATGTGGCCGCAACGTTGCCTCGAAGCGGTCGAGAGGCCGCAGGGCACGGCATTTGCATTCATTTATGGAAGTGTCATGGGGGAGAAGTGCGAGCCTCTTGGCATCTGACATCTCGCTGCCTTTTGATGCCATATTCGGTGAGTCCGTGGGTACTGTCTGGTGCTCCTGCCTTTTACTGGATGATTGGAACTGCTGAGATGTGGAGGGTATTTGCTGCGCCTTCTTTTTTTGGGTATATTTGTCGCACGCCGTGTTCGAGACGGTTTTTGATTGCCGCATTGCATGGGGTGCTGCAAGGCGATGCATTATGCCACGCGATTGTGTTGTGGGTGCCATGCGGTGGAAATATTTGACGTCGTTGAGGTGCCCTTGGAGGGTGGGGGTGGCGATCCTCCGGCGCGGGTGATCACTGACGGGTTCACACGCCCCTTTGAACCTGCTGTCCCTTCTTTGTACTTTCATGAACTGGCCGCGGATATTGCAGAATATATTCAGGTTGCTGCGGTGCTCCACACATTCAAGGTGTTGTCCTCCGCGCCGTCAACCTCGGCAGCTGAACGACCGGTCCCTTTGGAGGATTCGGGAGGAGGATCCGTCCAATTTGTTCCGCGGCTGGAGTCACTTCCTTCATTTCTGTCGGCTAGACACGTCTACAGCGTTACATTGCGTTCCCTTCCCCCAATGGGAGGAATGGGTGATGACGGAATTCGAGAGACAGTGGCTCTTTTTGTTGCGTCGCTGAGTGATCGGTCAGCGGCAGTTGGTGCATCAGCCCTTCCTGAGGGTCGGCGACAGAAACTCTGTGGCCGAGACGATTTGGATTGAAGTTCACAGGGGCAGAATGCGCGCCTTACTTCCGTGCTTGTGCCGATGGAATGCAACTATTTGCCCTTTCCTGTGATGCCTCGTGTATGCCACGACACCACATTGAGGAGAGCACGAGGTGCTATTGCGCGTGCTATTTCGTTAGACGCCACGGCTCTTTTCGGGTGTGTGATTCGACTGTGTGGCGGGTCCGTTGAGGGGAGGACGTGGATGGGCCGCGCCTACCCGACCGCTGCGCCTCACTTTGCTGGACGCCCTGACCAAAATGCTGGTCTCCTTTTGCTTGCCTTACCGGGCCTGGCGACCTCTTGAGGAGCGGTGCGGCGGCGTGGACTGTCGGGCTGCTGAGGAGGCCGTGGCTGCGCGGGATGTCCTGCGGATTTTTTTTGCGTTTCAGGACTACTGTAGAGAGGAGGACATTTCATGCCTCCTCCACGTCCAGGAGAGTAGATGGAGGGATCGCGGTTGTGGGATCGCACTTCACGAGGGTCTGCGCCCGTTGATCGCGTCGACGGCGCGCTCTGTGTGTCTTCGACCACTGCCGAAGCATCCCGCCGTTTTCCTTCCGGTGAACGGGAAAATCCACCGACACACCGAGGGGGTGGTGGGGGATGTTGCAGCGAGGAACGCTTTAAAGGTTCTACAGTGAGGGAGCGGTGCTTGAAAGGATCCCGCAGCACTTGGGATTCTGCTTGCCTTTAATTTCTCCTCTCTGTCTGTTGGTTGGTGCCGTTTGCCGGAGGGCGTCTTGGCCCGTGCGCAACCGTCAACTTCTCTGCTTCTGTGTGTGGCCTCACATTTTTTGGTCCGTTGTGGACGGTGAGGGTAATTACTGTGGCGGTTACGACGAAGCGGATGTGTTACGCCGTGAATGGTGGCGCCACCCACTCCTCTGCCACGTTCTTTTTTGATGCTTTTTATATTTTAATTTGATTTCTTGCACACAAACACACTCAGGCTAGGAAGGAAGCTACGACCAAGCGCCAATCGCTACTGTGAAATCCGAAGGCACTGAAAGGACCAACAGCACACACACCGCCCACACACACATATTTGTATGCTCTCACGTGTTGCTGCAGTGAAGGCACCCCGCACACACAACCGTCGCCGCGTGACCGGATCCAGCGGCATGAGGAGGGGAGGAAGGGAGAGTGAGCCGCAGAGGCCCAACATGTCCCGGCATATCTTCTACTCTGCGGTGCTGCTCTTCCTCGTTGTGATGAAGTGCTGCGGCAGCTGGGAAGCTGAGGCCGCTCAGGAGAATAATTTAATGACGACTCTGTTTAGGAAAGGGGATTCGTTTGATGATTCGGAGAACAAAAGTATGTCACAAGCGTTTGATTCTTTCCGTGCACCTTCTCTTCTTGTCGTGAATGGTCTTGCAGTGGCCATAGTTGAAGCGCATTACACAAACTCCACGGATAAAGAACTGTATGTTGGCCTTGTTGCAAAGTCGATGACGGTGAATGAAAAGAAATGGGCGAATGGAACCGCCATTGTGTTTGATCATTACGACATAAAAGTTTACCGCCTGTTGTGCCCAACTTCTATTGTGGACAATGGAGAGATAAAGGCTGTTCTTGGGGGCCACGGCAAGTCAGGGGATCCATTGACGGAGTTGGTCGGTGATGGTAAATATTGGACGTCCAGGTACGCGAGTGGTCAGATTTTTGTTGGCGGGGTGGTGAGGAAAAGGAGTTTGGATGGGATCAAGGTACCACCTCGAAATTTTTCCTGACCTTCTAAAAACTTCAAAGCCAATGCAGAACCATACAAACAATTTCTGGGTGGTGGTGGCGCAGGCATTAGGATGGAGGACGACAGTCGCCATGCGCTGCCTATTCAAGCCTTGAAACATGATGGAAAGAAAGTTTCTTTGGTTGTCCTCGCAGAAAAATCTTCTTTTGATTGGGAGTTCTCAAATGCCACGAGTGATGATGGCTGCATCCAGCCTGCGGTTCTTGAATGGGAGGACGGCGATCTCGTCATGATGACGTCGTGTGAGGACGGCAGCCGCAGGGTTTACTGGTCAAGCGCCATGGGGAGATGGTGGATGGAGGAATACGGCACTCTTTCACGCGTGTGGGGCAATTCGCTGAATCGTACAGGGCACGGCGTGCAGGGTGGCTTTGTCAGCGCGAGGATCGATGGACAGAGAGTCATCCTCGTCAACCGGCCGGCATATTTCGGGGAGGCGGGAAAAGAAACGGGCCGACTTCACTTGTGGCTGACGGACATGCAGCGCATTTATGATGTTGGGCCGATATCCGCTGAAAATGAGAACGTCGCCGCCAGCACTCTGCTGTACGCCGCTGACGAAGTGCCGTCATTGGAGGAGGGAGAATCGAAGGAAGTAGAGGGAAGACTGTACTGCTCTTACGAGGTTGCTGCTGCAGAGGACGGTAAGTACAACATTGCTTTTCTGGACTTGACGGAGAAATTGGAGGACGTGAAGAAGGTGTTGGCTGCTTGGAAGGAGAAGGACGCGTACATTGTGAAGGAATACGGCTGCACGGTCGAAAGCAATGGTAAGAAGCGCCGGGAATTTGGTGTTGTTGGTGACCTCACGAAAGGGCTGGTTGGCTTCTTATCCAGCACGTCAACTGACAGCACGTGGAGGGACGAGTACCTCGGGGTGAACGCCACAACAACGAAAGTAGGAAAGGAAAAGTGACCAGC